ACCTAGTAGTCTGCACCGGCAGGCTGAAAGGCTGGTGCTGGAAACTGAAGAATCTTCGCCGAAAGCCAAGGGATCACCCAAGTTGAAGGGGAAGACCAGAGCTCTACCAAAGAGAAACCCTGAAGCTCCTCCGAGGAAAATCAGCTGAAATCCTTCCCTCTGGTTCTCCATTTATACATTCCAACAACAATCCTCCTTAAAGTGGGTCTTCCATGCCCAGAACCATGCTAACTCAATTCAACTGGGCCTTCTCCACTCAAGTTGACAATCAATTAATTACCACACAGGGTAATGCTTGCCTTGCAGGAATAAGTTGAGAGTATTGCTTCCCTTTCAGTTTCATTAGAGTTTGAGAAGTAGTGGCATTAGGTCTTCTCTAAATTTCTTATAGCATTCAGCAGTGAATCCATCAGGACCTGGGCTTTTCTTTGTTGGTAGTTTTTTTTTTCTTCTTCAGTTTCACTAATACTGGATTATTTAGAATTTTAAAAAAATTATTGATTCACTTTTGGTAATTCATATCTACCTAGGAATCTGTCCATTTCTTCTGAATTTTCTGTCTTATTAGAGTACAGGTTCTCAAAGTAGGTATTGATGATCTGGGTTTCTGCAGGATCTGTTGTGATTTCACCCTTTTCTTTCCTTTTTTGATAAGGGTAGCCAAGGGTTTGTCTATTTTATTTAATCTTTAAAGGACCAACTCTTCAATTCATTGATTCTTTGTATTGTTTTCTTAGTCTCAGTTGCATTAATTTCTTCTCTGATCTTTATAATTTCCTCCCTCATGCATGCTTTGGGTTTAACTTGATCCTCTTTTTCAAACTTTGATGTTCAACATTAAATTGTTTATTTGTGCTTTCTCTGTTTTTCTGATGTGGGAATTGACCACTATAAATTTTCTTCACAGAACTGCTTCCATTGTGTCCTGTAAATTCTGGTATGACATATTGGCATTATTGTTCAATTGTAGAATCTGCCTCATTTCTTCTTTCATTTCATCTGTGACCCATTGATTGTTTAGGAGAGTGTTATTTAATTTCCATCTGTTTATGTAGTTTTTGTGGTTTCTTTTGCCATTAATTTCCAATTTCATTGCACTATGATCTGATAATATGCATGGGATAATTTAATTTCCTTTGCATTTACTTAAGTATGTTCTGTAAGCTAGTATGTGGTCTATTTTGGAGAAAGTTCCACGTGCTGCTGAGAAGAATGTGTAGTCTGTTGTTGTTGAATGGAACACTCAGTAGATATCTACTAAGTCCATTTGTTGAAAGGTTTAATTCATCTCTGGTATTTCTTTGTTCATTTTCTTTCTTTTCTTTTCTTTTTTAGTACTGGGGATCAAACTCAGGGCCTTGTGCATGTGAGGCAGGCGCCTGAACCACTGATCTAAATTCCCAGCCCCTCTGTTCATTTTCTGTCCAGGTGATCTGTCTATTTGTGACAGTGAGGTATTGAGGTCCCCTATTACAATTGTAGTAGTGCTTATCTGATTTTTCATATTCATTAATGTTTGTTTTATATAGTTGGGTGTGGTGGTATTTGGTGCTTAAATATTTATACTTGTTATCCCTTCCTCTTGGATTGTTCACTTAGCAAGTGTGTAGTGACCTTTGTCTCTTCTGATCAGTCTTGACTTGAAATCCACTTTGTCTGCAAATGGAATAGATACCCCTGCTTTTTTCTGGGTTCTTATCACATGGAATATTGTTTTTCATCCTTTGACTTTCAGACTATGAATTTCTTTTTGAAATTGTATGCAGCATATTGTTGGATATTGTTTCTTGATCCCTTCTCCAGTCTGTTTCTGATTGGTGAATTGAGACCATTCACATTGATGGTTATAACTGATAAATGTATTGACTTATCTTTGTTATATTATTTTCCTGAGGTTGGTTCCCTTTCTTTCCTTTCTGTTTAATTGCTTGCCTTGCCTGGTGGATTCATTCTATTGGAATTCTTGGAATAGTTGTTTTCATTGTCTTTTTCTAAAATATCCTTTAGAAGTTTTTGGAGTGCTGGTTTGGTGGTCATGAATTTCTTCAGGTTTTTTTTTCGTGGAAGTATCTTATTTCTCCATAAATTTTGAGAGAAGATTTTGCAGGGTACATCAATCTGGGTTGGAAGTTGTTTTCTTTTAAGGCTTGAAATACTTCACTCCAAGCTCTCCTTGACTTAAAGGTTTGTGTTGAGAAGTCTGCTGTGATTCTGATGAGTTTTCCTTTATAGGTGATTTGTTTCTTCTCCCTTAACACCTTTTGATATTCTGTTCTTAGGTTGAATTTCTGGAATCTTGACTATTACATGCCTTGGTGTTTTGTTGTTGTTGTTGTTGTTGTTGTTTTTTGGGTTTTTTTGCTGATGATTACTATTTGGAGCTCTATATGCCTCACTTATCTGTATATGGAGTTCTTTTTCCATGCTTGGAAAATTTTCTGCTATTAACTTCTGTGAACAATTTTTTATGCTTTTTGTGCATCTTCTAATTCTTCATTGATTCCAATTAATACTATATTAGTCTTCTTTGCATTGTCTAGTAGCTGTTGGATTGATTTTTTTGTTGTCCCTTGCTATTTTTAAGAGGTCTTACATTTGATGATGGACTACCACAACCCTGTCTTCTACATCTGACTCTGCTCTATATACTTTCAGTGAAATTTTTAATCCACTGGATTTCTGTTTGAGTCTGGAAATACATGTACTCTATTTGAGTATGGAATCTGAATCTTTTCTGTGTTGAGAATTCATGGTTTCCATGTCTTTCCTAAGCTCCTCTTTTTTTTTTTTTTAAATCTGTGTCTACTCTAGGTCCACTAATCATTTCTTTCATTATGATTATCTGTTTTGTTTTTGTCAAGAGACTTATTGATCTATTTTTATTGATCTATTTTGTTACTTCTGCTGCCACCATTTCATAAAATTCAGCTGGGAGTATTTTTATTTCTTCCACCTCAAGACCCCCTTCATTTGCCTTGGGTGAGTCGAGGGTTGTGGGTTGCGTTTTCCTTCCATGTTTTCTCATTTTCTGTTTCTTGTTTGTTTGTTTTCTGCATTGAGGCTTGTAAATTGCTTATGGTAGTTAGCTTTTTTACTAGTGTGTAGACCTCTTTATGAAATGACTACTTTTGTTTTTTTTGGTTTTTTTTTTTGGTACCAGGGATTGAACGCAGATCCTTGCGCTTGCTAGGCAGGCGACGGAACCACTGGGCTAAATCCCCGGCCCTGAAATGACTACTTTTCAGAGATGCCTTCTAGGTGTAGTTGGCTTTTGACTTTTGAGTCTGTCCCAATATCCTGCCTCTTCAATTTATTTGGGATAAAAGGTTGCTGCCTGTTTGGCCTAACACTCTGTTCCTTGGTACCAGACTATAGCACTATTTATGACCCTCAGGCAACTTAGGTATTGGCATACTAGGAAGATCAGTTGATCACAACAAGTATGTCACCTTGGCTAAAAGTACAATCAGTAATAACATTAGCATCAAGCACAGACTAGAAAATGACAAACTGTGATAACTATTAATTTGCCCCCTTCAACCATATAATAAGATTTATAGTTATATAACAATAAGGCAAATCAGAAAAGTATGTACAGTAAATATCACATCAGTAGAGCATTTTGACCATAAGGGGAGAAAATTTAAAAGGGATAAGAGGAAAAAATAGAGAAATAAGAGAAAGAGTTTAGAGTTGTGCATAGTGGTACACACCTGTAATCCCAGCTCTCAGGAGGCTGAGGCAGGAGGATCACTGTGAGTTCAGGGTTAGCCTGGGCTACAGAGTGAGTTCAAGGCCAGTCTGAGCTACAGAGGGAGACCCTATCTTAAAAAGAAAAAAAAAAAGTTTAGACCCAAAGCTGAAGGACAAAGGAATAAATATTATCCAAACCTTGGGAAACTGGCGAAGAAGACAGGAGGGAAAGAAAGAAGGAAAAAACAAAAACAAAACCAAAAAACCAGTGTCCATGAAAAAACAATAAAAAAAGCAAAGAAAAAAATATTTTTTCCTGTGATTTCAAGCCTGTGATTATCATCTTGTAGGGGCTACAGTTTTGTGGCAGTGTCCAATTCAGGGTGTGACTGCTGTTGCTGGGAGACAAAGGAGTCAGCCAGCACCCAGATCTGTGCTGGATGATCTCAGCAAGGCTGTGTTAGGACAGGGTGCCAGTTCTAGTACTTTCAAATCCACAGCAGTTTAGGCTGGCTGATCCTGTCCTCTGGTCATGGGGCTGGGGTCTGAGTCACTCATCCTGCAACACTCTGGGTGTCTCTTGCTGGCCTGATCCTGGCTCCCTGACCCTGGATGTCCCCCACAGTTGTCCCTCACCCAGTCACTGTGGGCCCTGACTTATCAACCCATGGCTGCTCTGAGTCCCAGGTTCCAGGGGACACAGCAGTCTCTGAGACTGGAGTCACTCACCAGCTGTCATTCCACTGGTGCATTTCTCCCTGGAGGCCTCTGGAGTCTCCCACCCTCACTCTGTCTTTATAGATTTGATTCTCCCTCTCACACCATGAGTCAGGAGAAAGTTCCTTTTTCTGCCTTGTGGTCTGTCTCTTTACTTTCTCTGTGGGCTCAGATTTTCCCTTCAGATCCTTCCTGAGTCCTGGGGATCCACCTCCCTCCTTCTTTTCTTCCCTGAGTTGTTTTCCAATGTCTAGATTCTTAATCTTAGAGAAGTTGATTTGTTACTGCTTACCACTCTGTCATCTTCTTGGATGTCTTTGTATATTATATCTTAATTAAAAAATTTTAAAGTACTAAAATCTTTATATATTATATAAAATAAAATAACACCAGTGAATATTTTATTGTGCACGTACAAATCTTTTTTCCTGGTCCAAAAACTACCACAGCTAAAACTGAAGACACGTAAATCATGAATTAATATGACATGATCCTGAGTTTTTAAAAGATTTGCTGTACTCATAGTGTTACTTTGCATAGAATCATGATCTTTCCTAGCAGGGTTTAATGTTTGGTGCCTTTACTTGTAGGAGGAATATCACAATCATAACTTCACAGAAGTGCTGTCTCCCAATATGTACAACAGTAAACTCTGGGAAACCTCAGGCCACTGGCAGCATTACAGTGAGAACATGTTTACCTTTGATATTGAAAAGGACACTTTTGCCCTCAAACCCATGAATTGTCCAGGACACTGGTGAGTATTAGAAGTGAAGCAGATTCTCCATAAGGACATAGCATACTGGATCACAATTAGATTTTAATGTTATTATTTTACTTTTTGGACTTCAGTGATTCTTTAATCTGAAGACTGGTTACTACTAATCCTACGAAAAGGGCTTTAAATGAATTATAAACCATAAGTGAATATTCAGTGGGTGATAAAAACAGGTAAAAACATTTCTGGAAGAGATAACAGAGTTTATTATTAGAGTACTGTAGTGATGTGAACATAAGGTTCAATAATTCCTAAAAGAGGGTTGGGGATGTAGCTCAATGGGAACATATGTGTTTAGCATGGGCAAGGCCCTGGCTTGGATCCTCAGTGATGAATAATAATGATAATAAATAACAACAACACCCATTATAATTCATAGAAGAAATGTTTTAACTTTATGATCTAAGAATAAGGAGTTTGCAAATCTTAAGACAATTATAATTCCTTCATATTTATATAGTCATTCTTTACTATGTAAAAGTTGTGTTCCTGCATCTTTCCTAGTCTAATGTTTGCCCATCGTCCACGATCTTGGAGGGAGATGCCTATTAGATTTGCTGATTTTGGAGTTCTTCATAGAAACGAACTGTCAGGGACTTTAAGTGGCTTAACCCGAGTCAGGCGCTTCCAGCAGGATGATGCTCACATCTTCTGCACGGTGGAGCAGGTAGGCAAGAGTACAAGCAAAGCCTGACTGTCACAGGTTCACTGTTACCCTGAACACATCCCTTAGTCTTTCTGAGTTGCTGTGAAATAAGATGTTTGGTCTGGCCTCGGAGGTTTCATTCAGTTCCAGCATTCAGCAGGTCTCTCATTTGAGTCAGTAGATCAGTAATTTCCTCTGGAGGCACCATGGCTGTCACCTCCCCGGGGCAGCCCTCCTACCCCTCCTCCTGTGTGCCAGGCCTCTTCATGGTGCAGTGCCCTGGCCTGCTTTTCACACCCCCCCTATGGCTGGGAGCCTCAGCAGCCTGCATGTGGGCACACAAGGTAAAGGCACAAGGAAGGGAGGGGTGGATGACTGAAACAGCGACTCTTACTCTACTAAATCAAGTTTCATATCCATCTGACACAAAGAATTTTTTTTATTTTCAAAAATGCCACAGGTGCATTTATTTTAGGGTTCTATCTGAGCATTTTACTTGTTCTACTTTTAGATTGAAGAAGAAATAAAGGGGTGCTTGCAGTTTTTGCAGTCTGTTTACTCAACCTTTGGCTTCTCCTTTCAATTAAACCTGTCAACAAGGCCTGAAAAATTTCTAGGAGAGATGGAGATGTGGGATGAAGCTGAGAAGGTGAGAGGAAGCAAGGGGCTTACATTACATTTTTGAAATTACGATATCAAGATCTAGGGGACATTACCACAGATTTGACAGAATTTAAAAGGATGTAGAAAGCGTATTACAAAAATCTTTTTTGAAATAAACTTGACAACTTCTAAGAAGTACCTTGGAAGACAAATTAATGAAACTAACTCTGGAGGGAATATAAAATTTGAATAGCACCTATTAAGGAAAGTATATTCCTAGCTTGAAAACCTACCTATATGACAACAGCCGGCTCATAAACATTTTAACTGATAAATTATAACAAACAATTAAAGCAGAAAAAAGAAGGAACACTTCTCCCCTCATTTTAGGAACTCAACGTTGTGCTAATACTAAAACTGGATAAAGAAAAAAGTATGAACATAGATAGAAATTTGTTTAGCAAAACAAACTATTAGCAGTCAGATCTGGCAGGATGTAGAAAGTGTTTTTGTTATAGGGATGGCAGTGTTGGTTTAGCATTGGAAGATCCACCCCCAAAAGTCATCATTTTAACAGAGGAAAGGAAAAAGCCATATGATCCTGTCACTAGTTGGAGAAAAAGTATTGGACTAAATTCTACAGCTGTTCATGGCAAAAGCTATCAGGAGACTAGAAGTAGAACAGAACCTTCTCAACAGATTAAAGACATGTACTCCATACTTCCAGGGAGAACGCCTTATATGAATGGAGAAGATATAATGCTTTCTCCTTAAGGTGGGGAACAAGGGCAGATGTGCCTACTCCTTATCTGTCCATTAAACTTTGAAACCTAGGCCCAACCAAAATACTGTGGCAATAAAATGACACAACTAGGATAGGATTGACAAGGTAGAAGCAAAATCTTTGTATGTAGATGAAATGATCATCTACAGGGAAAATACTAAGAAATCTCTAGGAACCCCTAGAACTTGTACTTGAATTTAGCAGGATTAGAAAACACAAGGTATGTATAAAACTTCAGGTCTGTGTATACTTGCTATAAATGAAGAATTGGATATTGAAATTTAAAAGTTATGTAGGAGTACAAAGGACCTAGAAAAGTTAAAACAACATCAACAACAACAAAAAAACAGTGTTGGAAGATGTTTAGTACCTAATTTTAAGACTTCTTCAAAAGCTACAGTAATCAAGGCAGTGTTGGTGTAAGGAAAGACATATAGATCATTGGAATAAAACAGAGAATCTAGAAATAGGACCACACATATGTGGTCCACTGAGTTTTGAAAGATTATTTAACATTAGCATTTTATAGAATATAAACTCAATTCAAGAGCCGAGGAAGAGATAGTGTTTTCAGCAAACGGCACTAGAACACCTGGTATCCGTATATAAAAAATTAACCTCAACCCTTTATTCCCATACATGAAAATAACCTGAAGGGATCTATGAATCTAAATATGAAAGCCTAAAAGTATAAAACTTTAAGAAGAAATTATAAGGGAAAATGTTTATGAATTCAGGGTAGGCAAGAACTACCTAGGATACAGAAAACATGATGTATAAAAGAAAAAAAATTGATAAATGAGATTCTATCAAAATTTAGAACTTTAAATGACATCATTAAAATGAAAAGTAGTCCTTAAACAGACCGTATTTACAATGCATATAACCTTATATTTGTTTCACACTCTGAAGTTTATATCAGGTATTCATTTATAGTCTTTTTCAGTCCTAATCACAAATAGCTCAAGTTTTTAACAGAATCCTCTATTTGCAGCAGATTTTCACTTGTGTGGTTGGTTTTAAAGTGTTGCCTATGAGTCTTGGTAGTCTAACTCCAGAGTCCCAGGGTTGTGAGCTGTGGGTGGAGCCACGTCTGATGCCTGCGTCCCCTCCACAAGCCCAGCCTGCTGTGCCCACCCTCTGTCTGGGACACTCAGGCATCACATTGCAGCTTTGCAAAAGTAAAATTGAGCTCATTGTATGCTTTTTTTCTCTCATTAAATATGAAAAGGATATGATATATCTCCTGTTTTATTAGAAATGAGGATGGTGTGGCCAGATCCCCTACCTGCCTGTCAGGCCACCTCTTCCTGGAATACTCACAGGAGCTGAACACACAAATCAGGAGAAATAAGAAAGAATCAAACACTGCACTAATAGTGTAACATTACTTTTGTGCTGTTCAGAGTACAGAGGGTGTAGAGAGCTGTATAGAAGCACTTAGGTCTGAGTTCTGAACAGGATCTCCTCTCCTCCACCCCCCATGCCTGTCCTAAATTCTTTCATGTCTGCGGCATGGAGAAAGAAACTCAAATGAGACAGTCTCTACCCTGGGAAGGATACTGACTAGATTTACCTGCCAGCCACATGGAAGCAGGAGGAGGCAAACAGGATGCAAAACTTGGCTCAGAGCTGTTTTACCTCCCTCGAGTCTTTAGCTCTTTGGGTGGAATTATAGAAAACCTCTAAGCTTCAGAATCCAGCATGAAATGGTGGTGATGGTGGTTCTGGTGGTCATCATAGTGATAACCCCTACTGCCTAAGTTTATAGTGAGCTTGAATGAAATAGCTTACACAAGATACTGGGCATAGTGTCAGGCTCGCATAAGTGCCCAGTGGACGTTAGGTGTTAGCGTTGTCATCGTCATCATCCTTATCACCACACCAGGCACATGGAAATGGATGGGATATGGGAAGGTGAAAAAGGGATGGACCAGGAATGGGCCTGGCATGGGGAGAAGGGGTAGAAGTCTCACCATTTTTGCTCTGTTTTAACTGATGTGGCTGAATAGGTTAGCAGCCAAGCCCACAGTCACTTGGGGATCTGACTGCACCAATAGGGATGGGCCCGGTGCCACTTCAGGGGAATTTCTCACACTGACCACTTTTCACCTGGGACTCAGTGGGATAAACATTTGAGGGTTTTTTCTTGTGTATTCAGAAGTCTCTGAAATGATGTGAAAGAAACATGCTTTATATAAAGTATAATCTAAAGCTTTCTTGGCCTGGGCTTCTTAGCCTTGTCTGCTCCTATTAGTCTGCCTTATTCCTGTGTCTCCAGAGGCCTCATGAGAAGCACTGACTTCTGTTTTATGCTTTTCTCCAGACCTTGGTCCTTCTTTGGCTTTTAGTCAGCTTTCCCATCACTGAGACACAGTACCCGATGCCCACAATGTAAAGAAGAAGGTTTTATGTAGCCCATGGTTTCAGAGATTCAGGACATGGCCTGCTGGCTCCAAAGCATAGACATCATGGGGGAAGGATGTGATGGGGCAAAGCTGCTTAGTTCGTGGCCGCAGAGAAGCAGAGCAGAACAGTGCCAGAGAGGAAGGGGCCGGGGACCATATACTGTATAGTACTCAAGGTCCCGCCTCCGTGACCCACCCAAACACAGCCAGAAGCATGCTTTGTAAATCTGCTAGGCACTTCTTAATCTAATGATGTTGACAAATCAGGATCAATGGTCATACTCTGGGAGCTCCCAACATTCTGTCCATTTTTAGTGACTGCCGTGGAGGGCCTGGTTTTCTCTGGGATCATGTACTGGTATTCCTTCTTCAGAGGAGTGGAATCAGCAGGGGCTTCCCACGCCTGTGAAGGCTGTATGGAGGGGGCTGTCTCTGGTCCTAAGGAGAAAGGAAGCCTCTGCTGTAAAGTTAGGCCTATGAGCAACACACCCGAGACAGACCAGATGCTGGCTGAGGTCCTGAAAAAACTGCCGTGACACAAGAAGTCTTCTCACTGCAGCTCCCCAGCAGCAGCTCTGCCTTCATTCCCCAGAGTGAGCCCTCTCCCAGGCACCAGCATGTAAAGCTGATGACAAGAGTTTGGGTGATGTTTTAATAATATTCTGGCCAAGGACTTAGGAATAACCAGGTTCTTCCCAAGGAACCTGTGTTCACAGGAGCACCAAGAGGATTCAGAAGCCCTTTTATTTATACCCACATGGACATCCACTTATCTTCAGTATTGAGAATCTCACCACAAACTGTGTTAAAAGCATGTCATAGCTAGGCTAAAGACCAAAGTGGGTCTCCTCTCTCAATACCCATGTAAATCATAGAGGGTCCCTCCCCCAGCTGCATATACAGAGGTAGAGGAAGAGCAAGAGAGAAATGGCAAAACCTACTGACTTGGCTTTCTTACCCACCCACACACGGCATGGAAGAGGGAGCAAAGTGAGGGCCCTCCTGCTTTCTCATGTACAGAGAGGCCCCACTTACAAGGAAACACAATCACCATCTTAGAACTCTACCAGGAGACAGAAGCTGTAACTGTGTAGGGCAGAGGGAGCTATATTGAACTAATGTCGAATGTAATTAAGGCTTATAGTTGCTTTTGTGAGCTATCTGATAAAAAGATAAAAGTATACAATAAAGTAGAAGTTTTAAATGTTCTCTTCTTTTAAAATAAACAGCAACTGCAAAATAGCTTGATAGAATTTGGAAAACCATGGAAAATGAACCCAGGAGATGGAGCATTTTATGGGCCTAAAGTAAGTAGACTGTCTCTACTTAAAATAAGAGTAAAATTTAAAAGAAATATAAGTGTTTCTAAGCAAACATCATTTAATTTACAGATTGATATAAAAATCAAGGATGCCATTGGCAGATACCATCAGTGTGCTACAATTCAGCTGGATTTTCAGTTGCCTATTAGATTTAATCTCACATATGTTAGGTGAGTGAATATGATAAATAATATAGTACTACTGTCCTAGTTATTTGTCATCTGAGCATGAACAATACAAAACTAAGTGGTTGTCTAAAATATATGCTATTATTCAGTGTATATTTGTTTACCTATGTGTAATCTAAGAATTTTCTGTTGCTAAGGCGAAATAATTGAGGCTGGGTACTTTATAAAAGAAAAGATGTTTATTTGGCTGATCTGGTGACTGGCAAGTCCAAACAGCATGGCGCCACCTCTGAGGAGCGCCTCCTGGCTGCTTCTCAACATGGTAGCAAATTTAGGAGTGACTACATGTATAAAGGAGCAAGTGCATCAGGTAGGCTTGAGAACTAACCCAGTCCTGTGAGAAGTACCCTTCTAAAGCTAATGCCCCAGTGAACTAGTCACTTCCCACTAGGACCTACCTCATAAAGGTATCCACCACCTGTTGGTCTAGGGGTATAGCACACTGAAAAAAAATGTACCACCTTTCAACACTGCCACACAGTAGATGTGAGGACCAAGCTTCCTCACATGAACCTGTGGGAACACTCAAACCAACTTGAGTGTCCTGCGGTCGTGGTCTGGTGGAGAAGGGAACATAAGCAAGCATAGGATTAGAAATCTGAACAAAGTACCATGAAGATATGGTCCAGAGGCAGAGAGAGAAGACTTCTCAAAGAGCTGGCAAAGGCTCTGTGAGACACTTGCAAGAGAATCCAGGGGAAAAGGCAGTTTCATCATTACAAATGACCTCTTTTTAAAAATTATTAATTTTTTATTTTATTAGTGCGTGTTTGCAGTTCATGTAGTTTATAGTCATTATATGCCAGAAAAAGTGACTTCTTTTAAAAACCTTTCTTGACATACAATAAAATTGTGTGCACGTGTGTACACGTGACATATCCAGTTTGATGAATTTTAAAACATGCAGAGTAGTGTAGCCTCCACATTTATGACAGTGTCATTCCTGTAACCTACCCTGTGATGCTCTTTCACAGTCATATTCTCCTCCTGCCCTTACCCTGGCAGCCATCTATATGTTCTCCATCACTCTAGTTTGGCCTTTTCCAGAATGTCATATGAAGGGACTCATGCAGTATGTGGCTTTGAGAGACGGGCCTTTTTCACCTAGCGTAATGCCTTGGAAAGTCATTCATATTTTCACATGTATCAGTAGTTTGTTCTTTTTTTTATTGCTTACTAATAAGCCATTGTATAGATGCACCAAGATTTGTTTGTCCCTTCACTCGTTTATTTTTTTTTCCCCTTTCCCCTTCCCCTCCTGCCATCCCCAAACCTTTGGAGCTTTTCCTATTTCAAATTATCAATTGTTCATTTTAATCATTTTCATCCTTATTTACACTTTCAGTTTCTCACACTAGAGAAACTATTCGGTATTTACACAT